GTTGGCTGTGTGGGCCAGGCCCAACTCTCCTCACACTATTAGCTGTGTGGGCTAGGCCCAACTCTCCTCACTATTGGCTCTGTGGGCTAAGCCCAAATCTCCTCACTCTTGGCTGTGTGGGCTAAGCCCAAATCTCCTCACTCTTGGCTGTGTGGGCTAAGCCCAAATCTCCTCACTCTTGGCTGTGTGGGCTAAGCCCAAATCTCCTCACTCTTGGCTGTGTGGGCTAAGCCCAAATCTCCTCACTCTTGGCTGTGTGGGCTAGGAATTATGGGAGTTGCAGTTCAGCAACATCTGGAAGGCTGCATTTTGCCCACCCCTGCTCTATCTGGAAGGCCTTGAAAAGGGTTACCATAAATCAGAATTGATTTCATTGCAGATTATTTTTTTAGACTGGTTATTATGAAAATTTTACATGCATAGCAATCATCAGATAAAGTACTTGTAAATATTACTCAGAATTATTTTAATGCAGGCTTCTTTTTTTTGGAATAACAATGTTTACTTACCAGGCAATACCCTAGCAGAGTGTGCATGTAACCCTTTGAGTTTATAATCTCTGAAACTAGTCAGCAATTTGGGGATATGGGACATATCTCTGAATAGGAATTGTGTTGGGCTTGCAGAATGCTGGCACAAGTGAGGAAGCTAATATATGCTGTTGTTTTCAAACAGGTAATACTTGAGTGGATTCAAAAGATTGTTTCTACTCATTAATTGTCATAGAGTTGAAGATGCTAATCTGTTGTAGATGGTCCGTGACTGGAAAAAGCAGTACCCCTCCACTGGAAGTCTGGAGTGAACTTCTCCATTGAATCAGTGGGCACCTGCTGAGTCATCTTCTCCATAAGTTCCATTGACTCAGTGGGCCTGCTCTAGTTATGATTTACTACTAGATTTTAGCCATTGTATCTCTGCATGGTGAACTTTTCTGGCATTCTTCATATAAATCAGCAATTAATGTTAAATAGAGAGAGTGTTAATTAAACATGATTGTCACATCTGGATACATACAGAAGAATCTTCTATAAAATGTTAGCTGCTATCTTATTACCAAACTATACATGAGGAAAAGGTGACTGCTCCGCTGATTGTTTAAAAATTGAAGTGCAACCTTGGAAACTTGCAAATTCTGTAGCATCAGCAGTGTTGATGGAGAAGATGCTTAGCCTTTTCCCTGTTTTCTTTGAAGAGTATCATATTCTCCTGCATGAAAGGGGAAATATGAATTAATACTACCCTCCCTCCCTCCCTCCCAAGTCCTCCATATTACTGAGGGTTAGGCTTTACTGGGGTTCCATCCATTTCAGATGGGTAGTTCTTTCTTTCTACATTATAGTCCTAGTATTCACTGCTATTCCTTCAAGGTTCACAGACGTTCTGAAAAAAATTCCTTGATTTTAATCTGGGTATGATGGGATAGTAGCTGAAGAGTGGATACACATTTGATGTAGATGGTTTGGATCTTTCACTTTTAGCTGCCACTGCTCTCCATATGCTACTGGGTGCAGTGCCTGAATCTGTAGCTTTAATTGAGTACCATGTCAACCTGTTATGCATGGGCTGAACTATACCACACTGGGTTGGCATATTCTCCTGCAATTTAGCATAGGGCAAACACTGTGGTTCTTAGTATTTGTGGTTGTATACACTAACTAGTTACTGACAGTTGTAGAAGAATATTGTTCTGTATGTTTGGCAATGTTTCTTACAAGTCAGTGTATAATCCAAAGTAACAACTAGGTACTGTACAGTATTTGAGTGCAGAATAATGGTCTAGCTGGATGTCCTTCCAGGTAAACTGAAGTTTACTAGGTGTCTGATTGTTTCTCAGATGGAAGGGAATATTGAGTCTTAGTAGGGTTGTGTTTAAATAAATTTCTATCATAATTCATGGCAGACACTTCTAATGAAATTTTTAGAAGCTGTTCTGCTATCTAAAGCTGTCCAACTGAGGAGCAAGTTTGAGATCCTCAGCATGGTCCCTTGAGGAAGTGATTGGTGCAGATTTTAACATAATAAAAGTACACTGCCCTGAGGCAGACCATTCTTTAGAGCCCTCCGTTGGGTGTGTTACTGAAAGTTGATGGAATATTTACAATTTTGCAAAAAGATTTCTATTACTTCTTAGTTTATAATCCTTGGTTAGAGAGTTTTTGCAGTTGTACTTGAAGATGAACAGTGTCATTGGTGACCGAGAAGTTAGCAAATAATACTCCAGTGATCTTCCTCATTTCAAAGGAATCCTCAGCATGTTGTGTTAAATGCAGGATTTGTCTTTACAGTTCTTTCCAGGTCTGTTGCTGAATAAGGATTGATTCCACTGCTTCCATCAGAGAGTTAAGGATATTTTTTCCAGGACTTTATAAATATGGCAAAGTAGTGAGACTGGACTGAAGTTTTTTGAGTCTTTGGGGTTTTTTTAAACAGGTTTCACAACACCAATCATTTGTGCCTTTCTCCAAATTTTTGAAAACCTAAGAGGATCAGGATAATTATTAAAGAAAATAAGCAGCCAGGTTTTGTTATTATGCCAAAATGTTTTAACTGTTCTACACAGATGGCATCTATGCCTGCTACCTTGCCATGTTTGCAGCTACAGCTAGCTTTTTCCAGTTCTCTTAAATTGAATGGTCTTGTAAGGTTACTAGTTTCCAGTTGCTTGTTTCTTTCAAGTTTGAAATTTAATTTTCTAATTAGAACTAATATTCAGATGTCCTTAATGAAGAGGAGGTGATGCGCTATTTGATTGCTGAAATGTTTGCTGAAATGTTAATTGGATTGTTGTTAAACTGCTTTAATAATCTCCAGGCCTTTTGACAGAATCTTGACATAGTTTTCTTTTCTTCTATGGGTTTTATCCAATTGTCTCTTTTAGTTTCTGAAACTGAAGAAATTACTTGGTGCTCGGCCAAAGTGGTTTATTCACTCAGTAGATTTTATTCAAATAGAGAAAAACAATTATTTATTTGGGTAACTATTTCCAATGTCAGGCCTTAGAGGTACTTAGTTCTGTATCCTTGGGACAATTAAGATGAACTGGTTATAGGCCTCTGGAGTTGGCCAAATGTTCAATATAGTTCCATCCAATGGTGTACTAAACGTTTACCAATTGTCTTTTCAAAAATTACATCTCTTGTGGAATGATACTGTTGATGGTTACACCACTGCGATATTTGACATATTATAGACAGGTGCTGCATATTTGGAATTGGGGTACAGACTGACTTTGTGTATTTTTGGGCTATATAGGCTCACTAGGAAATATCTGCTCCAGGTTATAGTCACGTTTTCCTGATCCTCTAATGAAAGACAAAGAAAGTTTGCTGTCATGAATAAGGGCTAGTCAGGATGTTTCCACTAATTTTAGCACGTCTTTTCTGATGTTATCATCAAGTGCATGCCCCCAGATGCTACTGCAGCTGTTAAAGTCTCTGTTTATATTTTTTCTTATGGAAATTGTCTGATGTGTTGGAGGAAAAGGTTACATTTATAAAGGGAAGATATTGTGCAATTGCCGTATTTTTCCATGTATAAGACTTCTTATGGAAATTGTCTGATGTTTTGGAGGAAAAGGTTACATTTATAAATGGAAGATATTGTGCAATTGTGTATTTTTCCATGTATAAGACGCCCCCATATATAAGATGCCTCCCACTTTTCTAACCCAAAAGTAAGAAATCTAAGTGGGACTTAGCAAGTGTAGGGGGAAAGGGATCAAAGCCTTGCAGGATCACTTTGGTCTCTGCTTTCCCTTCCACTTGTTTTTGTTCTCTCTTCAACTTACCTCCATGTATAAGACGACTCTCAATGTTTATTCTAAAGATTTTAGGCAAAAGTATAGTCTTAGACATGGAAAAATACGGTACTAGGTTCCACTGCATTTATCTCAGGTTGTTCTGTTCTGTCATAGAAGTAGACAATACTGTATGTGAAAGTCAGGCTTGATTACTATAGCACTTCCAGACTATCTATGAGGCTTCAAGGCTCATGCCAGATATTTTGGGGCATGGCTAGTGTGTGTTTGTATGCATTTCGTGAATTAAAAGTACATCATAATAATGTGTCTGGCAGAGCTGAAGCAGTACCTCTTTTAAAAGTGTTGACAACTCTTTGTGTTAATCAAGACTGTGGTTCATTGAGACGTTTGTTTGTTTGTTTGTTTGTTTGTTTGTTTACCTAGCCATCTAATAGCAAGGCCACTACTCTAATAATTAGAGTAATTAGATTAATTATAAGAGTGGCTTACAATTATTGCAACATAAACATAAAATAAAAATTCAATAATAATCAAATTATAACATCAAATATAAAGAGAACCAAGAATTATAACTATAAATAAAAATAGGTGACACAAAAGATGGCAACAGACAGAGATAAGTATTTCAAAAATAACAGGATATCAATAATCAAAAGAACCAAATATAAACCAAAATTAAATGAAAAATGTAGGGGAATAAAAGGAAGTGATGTGTCTTAGCTTTTACTCTTATTTATTTATTTATTTATTTATTTATTTATTTATTTTATTTTATTTTATTTTATTTATATCCTGCCTATCTAGTCGGTTAAGACCACTCAAGGCGGCTTTCTAGACTTTCTGGACCTACGTATTTTTTCATTAATCTGAATATTTTGTGTGTATGTGTGTGTCACTTAGGGATTTTTAGGTGACAGGGGACCTCTAGGACCACCAGGCCCCAAAGGAATTGAGGTAAGGCTTGACTCTGTTGTCTCAACTGCACACATATCTTTTTCCCTTGAAACCAAACTCCATTTCTGCTTGTTTGATTGCTTATGTTTTGGTTTGCAGATATATCAACTTTCTTTTCTGGCAGGTGCATGTAGCTGTGTTATTTATTCAGTGGCTTCCTTGCAATGTTTAGATGAACTGAATCTGGCAGTTAGCATATAACACTGAAGAATTTGTTTGCATAAATGAATGAAAGCAAAGGTTTAGTTCAGTACATTGTATTTTAGAACACCAGCAAATTCTTTTAAAGTTATTGCAAATAAATTATCTAGGCTACAGAGGCAGGTGAATTATGAAATGACATCTGTAGGATTGAAACAGTGTCTTTTTACCCAGAATATCTAAGTAATAAAATATTTGGTGTGGAGATTTTAGATGATGGGCATGACACTCTTATCTTAATCTATGCCTGTTAATTAAATGCATTTTAAATCTCTCTGAAGTTTAACCAGGCACTTGCTCAGTTGTTTGTTATACCAGGAAACTGTTTCTCCAGGTGATTAAAATAAATACAATATCCAAAAAAGAATGGTTGCTAAACCTGATTTTATTTCAGGGGGAAGAAGGACCTGTTGGACCCATTGGAGGAACTGGCCCAAGAGTAAGTATGGAAAATTCTGCTGCTAAAACTGATGGAAAAATTGAAAGTGATGCTCCTCAAAATGAGCAGCCATTGTAGTCTGGTATAATGTGTATATATGTGAGATGGCACAAATGGAATTGCTGTTTCTATGACAGATTTGGTGTGCCAAATCTATCTCTATGGGGTAACATTCTATAGTAAGCTGTTATATTAGTATTTGTGTAGCACCCTCGCTGCACTTAGTGTTTTAAATGATAGAAAAGGAAACATAGCTACCTGCTGCACAGAGAAAAAAATCATAATGATTCCTTTCCTGTATACTACTGAAAACCAAAGTGTGTTCTTTTCTCATGGTTATTTTAAAATGCGAACATAGGATCAGGTCAGTACACCAGCACTCATTCTCTCACAAAGTCTAACCAGGTGCCCCTATAAAAGCTCATGAAGAGCACATGAAGGAGCTATGCAGTAATAGCAAATTGGGACTGTACTTGTAAAGCTGAAGGCTTGGAAGCTTGAATAAAGGAACTGAGCCAAGGAAAAATGAAACAGGAGGTAGATAAGCAAACTTAGTATTGAAGGGAGATTATTCAGAGTTTTAGAGCATATTATTTTAACTCCACGTAAACAGTTTATTTTCCTTTGTTTTCTCAATGTGCTTCTTCAGCTTGATCCAAAACACATGTACTTGGAATTCTATGCTATTGTGTTCAGAGGAAGCTTCTTTCAAATACGTATGGTTGGGATTAGGGCCAGCCGGTAAAAGAGATGTTGCATTATTTTTGACTGTGTGGGTTAGGTTGACTGAACAATGTCCTCTTGATAGCAGAAGATTTCCAGAATATGATCAGAGTATCATTGTGAAACATGGAAATAAGTCTTTGTTTCAACAGAAGGATATAATAATCATAATTATGTGTGGTTACTTATGTAAACCTCCCCCAATTTTTGTTAATGAGCAACACTCGAGGCTGCATTCCTTGTAGGAGAAAACTGTTTAAGCCACTTCTCTGCTCAGAACCACATATACAAACACATACTTCAGCTGTCTTCTTTCCTATATCTTTGTCTCCCAGCAAATGTGAGTGGTACGGAAATGTCTGGAGAGGTTAAACACTTCTTTGCCTGCCATTACTCTAATCTTAATTGTAGTATCTCACAGCTGTTTTGTTGAAAAGGAAGAAAAACAATTGGATAATCTTTATAGCATCATCTTAAAACTGTAGAGCTGAAAGGTACCCTATGGATCATTCAGTCCAGTCCCTGTTAATGAGGCGGTGGAGAATTCAATGCCCACACCTCCATGCAACATTCTGTTTGGCCCTCAATCACTCAGATAGTTTTTTCCCCAAGCATGATGTAGTGCTTGTTAACAGTGATACCAGTGACACTATACTGTAGGTTCAAACATAATTTAAAAACAAAAGTGTTTCTTTTTTTGAATATAGGGTAAACCTGGTCGGAAGGGTTATGCTGGTGAACAAGGACCAGAAGGTCTAAAGGTAGGAATAAAGTTGCTTTTAAAAAGAGAATCTGAAGTGCCAGCGTGCACTGTAAGAAATATATAATGTACTTACTTCACAAGTAGAAATTGTTGAATGGTTTAAAATGGGTGAGAGTTAAATAGCTTTCTCTTAGAAATTCCAAAAATAAATTTTCTCTTATAGGAGAGGTTGATTTTTTTTCTCTCTCTCTCCAGATTTCTGAACCCAAAAATAGTGCCAAAATAGCTTGTGAAGACTGAATTGATAAACCTGTAGGTTTTGATTTCTCCCTCACTCAGTGCTTTGGGGTTCTTTAGATTGCAAAGTATTTTTTTCCTAAATAGGAGGAAATTGATGAATTTTATAAATTTAAATATACTGTTCACATGATCTGAGGAACAGCTACCAAGAGTGCCTCTTTGTATGCATTTGCAGATGTGATGTATCATATCCTGGGTGAAACAAGCAGAGAGACAGTCCAATTATGCTGGGCACAAGGTCTTTAAGGCACTATCACCATACCAATAGGGGAACATAGTCTTTTGCTAAATTACTGTCTGTTTTTAATTAATAGGGAGAAACGGGAGATCAAGGAATTCTTGGGAAAACTGGTGAAATGGTAAGAATGAGTTATTTTCTGTTTTCCAGCAACAAAAATAAAAACATCCTTAAAACTAACAGATACTTTGCAGTGTGAGCTTTTGTGGAGTATACTTCACATCTTCAGACACATGAAGCACAACATCTAGGCTAGAAGTCCCTATATAGTGATAATGCAAAACAAATGTCGTATGTCACCCTTAAAACTAACAGATATTTTGCAGTGTGAGTTGTTGTGGAGTATACTTCACATCTTCAGACACATGAAGCACAACATCTAGGCTAGAAGTCCCTATATAGTGATAATGTCTTGGGGATGGTAGTAGGACCATATGGAATGGAAATCAGGAAATGACAATTGCATATTAACCACTTGGTAATGAGCTTCAAGGGTAGCAATTGTGATTATTGACACTAGTAGTGGATGTTCGAGGTATGGATAACATTAGCATCCTGGCAATAGGTACATGCAAATGACTTCTGTTTTCAGGACCCAGGTTTTCAGAAAGTAGTAGGTCATGCTGAGAGCAACGTTCCCTCTAAGCCATGTGGGCATGTGGGAGCAAGCCGCTGCATCAGGCACGCACCGCTGAGCGAGTGTATCCACCCATTTGCATCTGCTTGTGACTGGAACACCACGCACAGGGGCATTCCCTCTAAGCCATGTGGGCATGCGGGAGCAAGCCGCTGCATCAGGCATGCACCGCTGAGCATGCACCCATTTGCACCTGCTTGTGACTGGAACACCACGCACAGGGGGTACAGCTTCTGCACAGAGCTCTGGAGAATTGGAGGGAACATCGGCTGAGTGTGTTGTTTTGCTAGAAAAAAAACTGTTGTACACAAGGCTGTAGAGGAAATGAACTTGTTAATGCTCCTAAGATGAAATCTTGTTCTGCAGTTCCATCTGAACAGCAAGAACGATGTAATCAGCCATGGCAGACTGCCATTGAGAAAAGCTCTCTTTTGTTATTTGGGGGTATGCACAGCTTGCACACAATGCAAAAAGGTCATGTGTACCCCAGAATTGCAACAGGAAGCCTTTCCTCAGCAGCAATGTGCTGGTGTCAGTCACATAATTGCCATTGCACAGGCATATCCACCCAGCAGGACTTCGGCCATAGTGTGAAATCTGTGTTTGATCTCATAATACACCCTGAAGTTTATGAGGGTCACCTGCTTCAACTGCCTTGCTCTCAAATCTCCCTTTGTAATTATTTTGTTATTCTATTGCTAATTGAGATCAGCAGCAAAGTGCCCTGGAAGTTGAATTGCTCTGGAATTGATTTCTCTGTGTTGCCATTTCTGCTGTTTCATTTGTGTCCATTTATTCTTTTGCACAGAGATTGTTCTGTCTACTCAATGTAGAGCATGCCATCCTCAGTGTAGTAAAGCCACCCCCTTCTGCCCAGCCTGTTCAGCTGTGGAAGGAGTTGGCTCAGGCAACACAGTCACCAGCTGACCCAGTGTCACCCCCCATTTGGCATCCTTGCTACCCATTAGAGCTGACAAGTCTACCCCAACTCAGCTTCTGCAGTGGAAGCACAAGCAGCAATAGGCAAGCAAAGGGGGCTCCAGGAGGAGCAGTGCTGTGGAGCCTGGTTCCCATCACCCACCTTTACCAGCCCTCCTTAAAAGGCATTTGCCACAGAATGGGAATCGTGCTTCCACTCCTGCTTCTCCGGACTTGGACTTTTGCGGATCCTTGTAAAGTCAATTTGGACTCCAAGACCAGACAGGCATGCCCAGGTTCTTAGTGCCAGAAACTCAACTCCTTGAGAACATGAGGGAAAAGTTAGTTGGGGATAACTCATTGTATTTAATAAAAGCTATAATGAGTGATCAAACCAGGCTGGAATCCATGGATTTTTTGTTGGGGGACTCCTCAGGTGCCAACCCCCCCTGGGGGGGATGAATGGGACTCATTGAATTGTTTGGTCATTGTCCTCAAAATACACAGGTCAAGATCCAATAGCGTGCTTGTCTCTCCAAGGCAAGTAGAACTGGTCCTTTCATTCCTTTTTCCTTCTTCAGTGCTCCATAGTGCCAAAATGTTTGTTTCAGAACAGGGTATACCAGGTTGGATCAGAAGTTATACAGTGGGGTCTTGACTTAAGAACGGCTTGAGTTAAGAACATTTTGACTTAAGAACCACTCTCATAGGAAAATATTGACTTGACTTAAGTACTTAGATTGGAGTTAAAAACTAAAAAAAAAAAACATGTGGGAGGCAGGGAAAGTGCAAAATTTGAACTTTCAGTTAACTGTTGGCCAGTGAAAAGGGTGCCTGTCTGCTTCCTCACGCCTCCCAGCGTTTAGAGAGTGGATTGGGAGACAGTCTTCGGACTGCCTGGACTGTATTTTCCCTGCCTTCCCTGAACCTTTCTTGACCTAAGAAAAAAAGAAACAAAATATCCCCCTCTAGTGGTCGAAGGCAGAATAGCAGCTCCCATTAGTTTCTATGGACGGAAAAGAGCAGATACGGATCAAATGGTTTTCAATGCATTCCTATGGGAAATGTAGATTTGACCTGAGAAATTTTTGACTTGAGAACCGCCTTCCAATACGGATTAAGTTCTCAAGTCAAGACCCCACTGTATAGAGTAGAACTCTAGAGACCTTCGGGTAGTGTGGGCGGCATATAAGTTAAATAAATAAACAAACAAACAAACTCCACAAACTGGACAATACTGCAGGCAGAAGTAATGTGATCTTGTTTTAGTCCTCCTTCCTTCAGTCCCCATTTCCTCCTCTCCAAAATCTACCCTGGAAATTTGAGGGAGTCTTTGGAACAATGTGAGGGTAACAGTGAAGAAGCAGCCAACAGGATTTGTTGTAAAGAAGAACTACAGTATTTGGTTTTAACATATCTCAAATGTGTTGCTTTGGCTAAGCAGGATTTAAATACTGACATTGGATTCTGCATCTCTTTCTAACTGGTAAGATTAGCAGTCTCTTACAGAATCAGCAGATCCATCTAGACAGTATTTGATTAATTTAATGAGCACTAAAGAAGTTCAGCCAGAGCAAATTTATAATGCTGATGAAACAAAGGTTGTTGGTTTTTCTTTTTTGGAAGTGATGCCAAAAAAAACACTGGCTTAAGCTACTGAGAAAATTGCCCCTAGATTAAAGGAAGAAAAATCTCAATTGTCATGGCATGCACAGTTGGGTTCCAGATTTTTAAATTACTAGCTGGCAAAACTGTGAAACAGCAGTATGTTACACACAGAGAAATGAATGTGTAGCCTGTCTTTTCCATTGCTGGGCCTAATCCAGTGCGTGAATGATTTTAGACACATCAGAAAGATGATTCTCTTCTAATATCCTTTCACACATGAAGATTAATGTGACTGACAATGAGTTATGTTTCTAAGTTGTTGGTACTGTTTGAAAACATGACAGCTCATTGCCAAAAGGAGGAATATTCTGTCCAAATAGATCTTCACAGATGTCAGTTCTTCTTAGACAGGTCTCTTGATATTAAAAGAAAAAAAAAAGAGCACCAGAAAAGCAAACCAGTTTTTGGACTGTGGGAGACTGTAGGTTAAAATGTTTTGACATATTGGCTGAAATCCAGTAGTAGATTACAACTGGACTAGGCCCATTAAATTCATAGAACTTATGTAGATGTTAACTCCTCAAATCCTCCAGTTCAGTAGACCTGCTCCAGTTGCAACTTAGTACAGTACAGGATTTCAGCCATTACATGAGGGCTAAGGATCATACAGAGGTATCTATGCCATGATGCTAACTTATTTTTAGAAGAGTGAATAACAATGTCATATAAACTCCTTAACCTGTTTTACACTGAGACAGATCACAAGTCTATGTAGCTCACAATGGTTTGTTCTGATTCATTCATTATGCTTTTGGGATTGAAATCTGAAAAGTAACTTTTCTAAGGTGAAGTCTTAGATGGGACTCTTTCTGAATCCTGTGCAATCTTTTAAGTTGGAAATCCTGGGGACTGAACCAGAGAACCTTTGTTCTCTGGCACTGAGTTATGCACCACAAATAAATTAAATGTGAAAACCGTACCCGAAAACATGTATATATTGGTAACTGTATGCATTAAAATGTACATGTTCTGTTCTAGCTACAGAAAAGCAAAGACAGAGAGGCAGAGGTGATATTTATGGTTCTCCAAATGGCCCTCTTCGTTCTTTGTGAGCCATAACAGGAGCCTTAACTCTTGAACATGGGTGGGCAAAGTACAACTTGGAGTGGCATATGGCCCCCAAAGTTGTTCCTCCAGAGCCCCACAATGCTTCCAAGGCAGAGTTTTTTTTAATACCAGAGATGATTTTTCTGCTCCTAGAGGGCTCGAAGTCCCAAAAATGAAAATAAGAAGTGGATGCCCAAGCCTGTTCTTGCCCTCCAGGATGGTGGGGCCAAAGGTTTGCCACACTGTCCCACACAAATTTTCATCCCTTACCATTTGTCGTCCAGACACAAACAAAAGTGTGTCAGGACTAACAGAGCAGTGCTTTTAGAGTCTGGAATCTTCCTAGGGGCCATTTGTATAAACTATGTATAAACAATAGAGAACAGGTGAAGAAATGGAAAGGTGAAGCCCTTGTTCTCCTTACTCCTTATAGAGTTTGCTTAAATTGCCTTTCCTGCAATTAAGAATCTCAGATTAAAAACGCCTTAGCTAATTCCATGGAATTTCAAATGCAGCTTTGAAATTTGACCATTTGATTGGTCATTTCACAAAATTTACTTGTGTAAATTGTGCACTTTAGCAAGAAAAGATCTTTACATCATCTCTCACTTTTGTTTTCCTTTCCAGATAAAGATTTCAAAGGTCAAAATTGTTAGTGCCAACAGCCACCGGATTCCACTAGGTGGAATTTTTGGGAAAGACATATTGCCTTTCTATTCATGCCTCCAGTGTGAGATTTTATGCAGCCTGTGTTCCTGTCATAAAATTCTTGGTACCTGAAGTGCCAGGAAATTGAGTTTTAAATGTGAAAGTGAAATGCCAGTTCAGAGAGCATACATACGGTATTTTTC